GGGGGTCCAGGTGGAGCTTTAAAAATGGAGACAGAGAAGTCTGAGAAGGCTCTGGTTCAATAGTTCATTTCCAGGGCTGAGCCTTGGTCCTGACCCCCTCCCCACAAATCTCACCCAGGACAGTAGTGGGCTAGAAACATCACTGAAGTATAGGGGAGCAGATCTGGCAGGCAGGAATAAGGGAGCTCTGTGTACAGTGGTAGGGGACCAATCCTGAGGCATATGGGGGACCCATGTGTCCCCTACCCCACCCTGCTTCCAAAAGATTCAGGAGAGACCTTGCCAGGGCTTGGCAGTGAAAGGCTGGGTTCCAGAAAAAAATGATAGAGGCAGAGACAGGGAGGGAAGCAGAGAGAGCTGAAGTCCTTTCATTCTAAGGGACATCTCTGAGAGCCCAGGCCAACTGGCTTTCACCCCAGCTCTGCCAGCAGGCCACCTGCCTGAGTCTCTCTGCCCACCCATCCATCCTCACTGCCAAGTGAGGCCGATGAATGAGAGACGGCACGGGTGACACTCACAGCCCAGGCCTGGCACAGAAGGGGCACCTGTTGTCCTGTCTGTGACAGGATGATTCAGAGCTACCCGCAAAGCCACAGGACTGGGCTGCCACGGGGGCGAGGGGAGGGAAGGGTAGATCATCTCTAACACTTGGACCTCAGGACAGGGGTGGCAACTCCTGCTGCCACAATGACTGAGGCCTGGGGTGAAGCCTGAGCGCAGAGGGCATGGTGGGGCTGAGGGGCCCTCAGATCCTTGCCCTTCTCTAACCTGCTGGTCAGAGCTACAGTGTTTATGAACCAGCCTAGATGGTGGGTTAGGGCTTGAGAAACCATGGGTAGTTCTGTGTGTGTGTTGTTAGTTTGATTTGTGTGTGTGTGAGTGCAATTACACTGGGGTTTCAACTCAGAGCCTCAGTGCTCTCATTTGGCTTTTTATTTTTCTCTTTTTGGTGCCAGTCCTGGGGCTTGAACTCAGAGCCTGAGTGTTCTCACTGAGCTTTTTTTTGCTCAAGGCTAGTGTTCTACCACTTGATCCATACCTCCACTGCCAACTTTTTGCTGGTTAACTGGAGTTAAGAGGCTCATGAACTTTTCTGTCTGGGCTGGTTTTGAACGAAGATCCTCAGATATTAGCCTTTCAAGCATCTAGGATGTGGGCATAAACCACAGCGCCCAGCCATGAGTGAAAGTGTTTGTTGTTGTTGTTGTTGTTTGCTTTGGTTGTTGTTCACTGTTTGTGTGTGCTGATCCTGTGGCTTGAACTCGGGGCCTGGGTACTATCCTTGAGCTTCGTTTTATTCAAGGCTAGCTCTCGACCACTCGGGGCCACAACGCCACTTCCATCTTTTCCTGAGTAGTTTATTGCAGATAAGAGTCTCACAGACTTTCTCTTATCCAGGCTGACTTTGAACCACAATCCTCAGATCTCAGCCTCTTAAGTAGCTAGGATTACAGGTGTGAGCCACCAGTGCCCAGTTCTATGAGTGAGTTTTTATTGGATAAGAATTTTCAAATCCAGGCTTCTCTTCTTACAAGCTGAGAGACTGTAAACCCTCGAACGTACTGACCAGCACACAGTACGCATCAGCAATGTCACCAATCACCATTTTTGCACAGGGCCCAAAAGACCAGCACCCCCACACACACCCAGTTTGTAGAATCCCTTCCCAGCCAGAGATGATAGTCCCCCTTGGACAGAGCCAGAAACTGAGGCCCAAGATCCCACTGTCTTAGCCACCAGCTACCCAGACCTGTGCTCGGTGCCCCCAGTCACCTCTCTGCCTATTCCCGTGGGAAAGCCTCCTGGCTGAAGTGTGGGGGTGGCCCAGCCCCATGATAACACCATCTCCAGTCACATCCCCCCAGGGCCCAGCAGGATGGTGGCGCCATGTGACTCAGCTGGCTCACAAAGGCAGCTGTGTGCCCCAGCACCCTGGGGCCCGCCTCCCCTACCCTCAGCCACCTGACATGCCAGGGAGAACCAGGAATGGCTCTTAGTCCTTACAACGGGCTGAGTCTTGTGGGGATTCAAGCCTGGACTCGGGGGCTGAAGAAACTGATGCCAGCTCATGCCGTGGAAAGGAAAGCCTGGCAAACAGGAGAGGCAGACAGTCCAGGTCCACCAAGCTGGGGTCCTGAGACCTTATTTGGAACTTCAAGGCCAGCCTCCACGGGGCAGGGTCTGACAGCTGCTCCGCCCATATACTGTATCAGGTTTCAAAAGTGCTAGCCAAGTCCCTGTGTCCACGCTCCGCCAGAGCTTCCCTATTGCACACCCATCCCATGCCAGGAAAGGGACTTGGTTTTCTCCCACAACTCTATTTTTTTTTTTTTTTGGTCGGCCGTGGGGCTTGAACTCTGGGCCTGGGCGCTGTCCCTCAGCTCTTCAGCTCAAGGCGAGCGCTCTACCACTTGAGCTACAGCACCACTTCCGTCCCACAACTCTAGTAAGGAGACTTTGTCCATTCTCTAGAGAGGTGGAAAGACCAGCCAAGTGTCACACAGTATTAGAGGCAGGATCTGTGTGTATGCAAATGTGTGTACATGTGCATGCACATGCATGCCAATCCTGGGGCTTGAACTCAGGGATGTGAGCTCTCCCTTAGCTTTTACATTCAAGGCCGGTATTCTACCACTTGAGCCACAGCTCCACTTCCCAGAATCTTTGCTTCTTCCAGTCTCCTCTTCCTGGTGCCAACCATGTCTTGACCACATGCCAACAAGAAGTAGCTTTGGGCTGGTGCAGGCAGAGACCTTGTTCCTGCTTGCAGAGTAGGGGCTGCTCCTAAATGTTGTTCCTTAGAGGAATGCGGGCTGGCTAGCCTCTGAGTGCCACCCCACGGACCTTCCCTGGAGGTAGGCACGCCTGGGTGCCCAGCTTCCCAAGACAGAAGGGAGTCATGGCGTGACGGAATGTCTGACCCCCCAGTCCAGCACCCTCCACTTGGCCAGAGGACTGGAACCAGCCAGAACTGGGCCTTTAAGGTCATTTGGCCTCACCCTGCCTCTAAGCCCAGGACGAAGCCACCTCAACAGGCTGTCTTCACCCAGGCCACCTGCCTGCCAGCCCGGGCCCCACTTTGGTGTGCAGAACTGGGCGTCCAGAGGCCTCAGTGCCTCCCACAGGGGATCTTCCTGTTTTGTCTCTGGAGCCAACAGTAAGTACATCCACTCCTGGGGCTGTGACCCTGTCCAGCACCCTGCTCTGAAGCAGCCTGGGCCACAGAAGCCCCAGGAAGGGGGCTGGACATGGAGGGGGATCCAAACCATTCCTCACCCATCTGAGAACCTCCTAGTGTTGTCCCAAAGCCCTCCTGTAGCTGGTCACAGAACCTGGCATCAAACTGCCCTAGTTTGACCTTTCTGTGCTTCCATTTCTCAAGAGTGAAATGGGGAGAGCTGCCTGCATCCAGGACCTCTGGAAAGGCCAACAATAGTCAGTGTCCTGTCTGCAATCTTCCTCCCTACTATGTTTTCTTTTTAAATAAGAATGTCCCAGACCATAATCCTAGCTACTCAGGAGGCTCAGATCAGAAGATCAAGATTCAAAACCAGCCAGGGCAGAAAACCCTGCAAGACTCTTACCTGCAATAAACCATCCAAAAGCAAGATATAGAGGTGTGGCTCCGGTGGTAGAGTGCCAGCCTTGAGCAAGACGGCCAAGGGAGAACTTGGCCTCAGTGCATGGGACCCAAGACACTTCTGAGTTCTCTGTAGAGCGTCTCCTCTTTGGCTGACCTGGCCTGGGGTCAGCAGCATCCACCCGACTAAGGCCATCCCAGCTGCTGCTGAGGTCTCCACAGTAGTGCCCCTCCCTAGGCACTGGCTGGTGAGGTTTGAGTGACAGCTGCTCAGATGACAGATGAGGGCCAGCTGCCTCTGATCAAGCCACAAAGGATTATCACATTTGTGCCAAGGGAGGTCCAGGAGGCCCAGATAGATGTAGTGACTATGTGCAAGGCAGCACAGCAGTATGCAAAGATAGGAAGGCTTGATGCATTGTGTGTGTGTGTGGGGGGGGGGCGGTGTGCCATCTCACTCACTGCCAGGTTAGAATCTTGGCTCTGATTTCCCCATGGGCCCACCTCCACCCACCCAGCTAGGACTGGTGCCCAGCTTGGGCATGTTGTGAAGGTGTTGGCTGTGAGAGACTCACTTGGGAAGCAGTCCCGGGAGGCACCTTTGATTGCTCCCCCTGGAAACCCAGCTACCCACTTCTATTCTGGCAAAAATGAAGATTAGGAATTGTAATTACTGTGTGGAAATCCCCCCCCACCCCCAGGCTCAAGAGACCCCTCCTCCAAATCTGCTAATGAGCCTCTGCGCAGCAGCCCCCTCCCACCATCTACCCTTAAGAGCAGGGGCACAGATGGCTCAGGAGGCATAATGGAGTGGTGATGACAGCCACTCATTAGCTGGGATCACCTCATTCACACAGAGAGCATGGGGGGTCCCCATTCCACTGCCCACATGCCCCAGGGGGGCAGGTTGCTAGACAGGAGAAGGCAGGCACTAGGCCTTCTGACTGACACCACCCACCTCCGTCTGGCTGGGTGTGGGCCAAGAGACTCAGGGGTGGGAAGGCCTGGGTAACGCTCCAGCCTCAAAGTGTGCTTTAGAACCCCTTCTCCACCCCTTCTCTCAAGGCATGATGGGAAATGGGCCCAGAGAGAAGGAAAGCCTGTAGCAGTCCTGGCTTTTTTTTTTTTTTTTGAACTCTGGGCCTGGGCACTGTCCTTCAGCTCAAGGCTCAAGGCTAGCACTCTGCCACTTGAGCCACAGCACCACTTCTGGTTTTCTGAGTGGCTTATTGGAGATAAGATTCTCACAGCTTTTCCTTCCCCGGTCTGGCTTTGAACCGTGATCCTCAGATCTCAGCCTCCTGAGTAGCGAGGATTACGGGCGTGAGCCACCAGCACCCGACAGTCCTGGCCTTTTCTTGCCTGTCCAGGTGTGTCTGGAGGGCTCAGGGTGGGGGCTTACTTGGCCTTCAGCTCCTACCTTGTTGCAGCCAGGGGGCCACGTTGCCAGGGAACTGGGCTGGGGAGAGGCAAGTGTCCTTCCTCCAGTCTCCTCCAGGACAGACTGCCTTTTCCTTGTCAGAAGCCAAACACCCAGGGCCAACCTGCTCCTGAACCGGTTCCTCATAGGAAGCTGGGGGAAATAGGCCTGAGGCACTGGGAGAAACAGGTGTGAGAACTCGGGGTGAGTGGGGTCCACGCCTACCTGCCCCCCCCCCATCCCTGTTCAGCCTGGCCTTCACTGTCTATAGTCTGTAATCTCCTCCAAGCAAGGGAACACGCCCCACAACCTGCCAGGGGCCCAGTACCATAGACTATGAGATAAGCAAGCCGCCACCCCCCCCCCAGCAGCCTGGGGTGAGCCCAGAACAGGGAGGGCCTCTAACTCCCCTTGGTGACACCCAGAACCTTGATCAAACAGAGGGAGAGCCAGGCACACACAGACATGGAGCTAGATCACACGGACCGCCAAGGTCAAGTGGGCCAGGCAGACCACCCCACCGCCCTTCACCCTTGTCCCTCCCACGGTAAACAGCAGTTTCTTACCTCCAAGGCTGGCAAGAGCCCTGCAGCCTGCTGCCTGCCGCCCGCCTGCCTTCCTTCCTCCTCCCAGGCCAGCTTGTTGGGACAGGTGAGCCTCAGCCCAGGTGAGGCTCCGCCTGCTTGTGATCACCCAAGAGTCTTGGTCAGAGGCTGTTAGGAGCTGTGCTGCACCCACCTGCAATCTGCCAGCTCTTCTGCTTTTCTCCCCGCCACCTCCCTGAGCTGGGGCCCCTGCTGCAGCCGGGGTCAGGCCCACCTGCTCACATTAAAAACCAGTCACTCTCGCAGCTGGCCAAAGGCGGGAGAGTCAGCTAATGCCAGGTTGAGTGGGGGTGGGGGAGGGGTGGCTGCGGGGGCCCCAGGTGTCTTGGAAGAGGGGGGGGCTTGGAAGCTCCGCCCACTTCCAAGTGGCGGGGTCCCAGCAGACTCCACACCGCGTTGGAGGGGCGGGGTCCAGGCAGGCTCCGCCCTGCCGCCGAGGGGCGGGACATTAGCGCTGCTGCTGGCCTGCACCGGCGCAGCTGGCAGAGGTGCTGTGTGTACAGACGGACACCTGGGCATTTTCACTCCCACACCGCCCCTGGGACCAGTTCCTCAGTGCCTCGATTATTTCCTTTCCCATATTCCATCCCCCTTCATCCCCATGCCTCCGCCAGATCACCAAACCCAAACCACCAAGCAGGGCCTGGTCTGGAAGAGTGCTGAGTGGGGAAAGAAGGAATGAAGGATGGACAGAAGCATGCACGGGCAGACGCCACTGGCCTCCTTGAGGGCCTACTGTGAGCCAGGTACATACTAAGCACCGGGGAGACAGCTGAAAGCCAAACACAAACATCTTAACCTGCTTAGAGGGGTAGGGAGACAGACAAATTAATAAGCAATGAACGTGAAATCTATCCAGAACCACAATAAGACACATGGGACAAATAAAGCAAGGAGAGTCGGACACCAGTGGCTCACACCTGTAATCCTAGCTACTCAGAAGGCTGAGATCTGAGGACTACAGTTCAAGGCCAGCAGGACAGGGAAGTCTGCTAGACTCACCACCAGAAAACCAGAAGCAGCACTGTGGCTCCAAGTGGCAGAGCTCCAGACTTGAGCAAGAAAGCTCAGGGACAGGGGCTGGGAAGATGGCTCAGTAGTAGAGCGCTTGCCTTTCATGCATGAGGCCCTGGGTTCGATTCCTCAGCACCACATAAGCAGAAAAAAGAAAGAAAGAAAGAAAGCTCAGGGACAGTGCTGGGGCCCTGAGTTCAAGCCCCATGATGGCTGAGCAAGGTGGCTGCCCCTTGGCTCTGTGGGTTAAGCAGTTGAGGCCCAGCAGGACCAGGGAGCAGAATGAGGTCCCATTGTGAACTCCAACATTCACCCCAGAATCCTGGGTCAGGCCAGCCTTCACCATTTACCCCACCCTGCTTTGTAGGGGTGCAGGGAAAACAGACCCCCCCTCCCTGGCTAGACACACGGGGATGCGGGACTACCTAGCTCTGTGCCCCTGGGCTCTGCTCCTGTGCCCCTCTGAGGCCTGGCCCAGGTGTGAGTGCCAGTGGCTGAGGGAAGCTCACATTCCTGCTTCGTTGCCTTGGCAACACTTTCCCTCCTTCCTGAGTTCATCCACTAAGTTAATATTTGCTCCGCAAGTACTGGGTGCCTTGGACAATGGCAGACTCCCAGAAGGCCCTGGATCCACATATGCAAACTGACTATGCAAAGTGAAGATTCGGTGGCAGAATGCTAAAGCTCCCAGCCATGGCTGGCACAGGGTGACGTGTGCAGGGATGGGGCCTTTGGAAGCCCTTCCCATGTTAGGTGTTCCTTTTCCACCCCGCCACAGGACAGAAGCCTTTCTCCCTTCTGGCTGCTGTGGCTAAGTGGGGTTCCTCGGGACTGTGTAGCAGGAGAGACTTGGGGAGATGAGAGCCTGCTTACTGTCTGCCTTGAGACACTTGCTCATGGTGACTTCTACCTACCCCCTTCCTCCAGTTCCAGCTGCCTTCCTGGGGATTTTGTTTTGTTTTGTTTTTTTGGTTTGTTTTTCCTTGTGCAGGTCCTAGGGCTTGAACCCGGGCCTGGACCCTGTCTCTGAGCTGTTGTACTCTACTATTTTGACCTACAACACCATTTCTGGCTTCTTGGTGGTTAATTGGAGATAAGAGGCTCATAGCCGAGCTCCTGTGGCTCACATCTGTAGTCCTAGCTACTCAGGAGGCTGAGATCTGAGGATCACAGTTCACAGCCATCCTAGACAGGAAAGTCTGTTAGACTCTTATCTCCAACTAACTACCAGAAAACCAGAAGTGGCACGGTGGCTCAAAGTGGTGGCGCACTAGCCTTAGGTGAAAGAGCTCAGGGCCAGAACCCAGGCCCTGAGTTCAAGCCCCACAATGGACCAAAAAAAAAAAAGGAGTCTCATGGATTTTCCTACCTGGGCTGGCTTCAAACCATGACCCTCAGATCTTAGCCTCCTGAGTAGCTAGGATTACAGGTGTGAGCCACTGGGTTCTGATAACATGTAGTGGCCCATGGCTGCTCGGGCAGGCACGAGGAGATGTGCTGCCTGGCCTGGGTCTGCCACACAGCACTATGGCGCTGAGCAATCAGGGCCTTCTCTGAGCTCAGCCTCCTTCATGGCTAAAATGGGGGTACTAGGACCACCTGTCCTGCAGGGACTTCAGTAACTCTCCACAGGGGCTGGAACAGGGAACCCTGGAGAAAGTGAGCTGGGCTTTTCCAGCAGCAGTGAGCTGTGTCTGTCCCATTTTGGGACGGGAAGGAGCAGGGCCACCAGAAGTGATGCACAAAGCCACATCCTCCACCTCCTCAGAGCTTAATGATGTATTCGTGGGCGGTGGGGGGGGCGGGGAAGATTCTCACAATCTGCCCCATCCCATCTCAAATTTATATCCTCCTTTGGGGGTCAATGTCAGGGTGACTGAATCACCGTTTGCTGGGGCATTTTCAGCCGTGTTCCCCAGGCCTGGAGGCAATGCCCTTTGAGTACACGAAACACAGGAAACAGGTGGCAACCCATGTCAAGGCTTCAGGACACCCACCTGCTGCCTGACGGGCTGGGAGAAACCCCAGGGCTGCCTGCCCCACTTTATGGCATCCGGTCCCCAGTGCCCCCTCTTCCACACAGCCCTCTTGGAGCTCCCTTGCCCCCCTGTGGAAGTCAGCCTCTGAACCCCAGAGCCCTAAAAGCCTGCATCACTTTTCCTACAAGGGTGGTCACCTGCTGACTAGATATGGGGATGCACACCTGTAATCCCAACAGCCCGGGCTGCACTGTGAGACACTGGTGCATGACACCTTCACCCTGGAGTGTCACATCTCTCTGGCTGCCAGGGAGTTCCGAACATGGCATGGTATGACATAGTTAATCCTCATAACAACCCCATGAAGGAGATTGCAAAGGGGCCAGTGGATGGGGAGGGGCCCACAGAAAGGCAGAAAGAGGTCCCAGAGCTAATTACCAATCAGTGCCAGTGGCAGAATTTGAATCAGCATCACTGCTGAGTCACAAGTCTCCATGCAGCTTCCCAACCAAAGCATTTCAGTCATTCTACAAACCTCTTCCAAGTGCCAGGCAGGCCTGAGGATTGTCTCCGTGACCACGAGGCAGACACTATCCCTGCCTCCGTGCTGCGGATAGCTTGTGAGATGCTGAACTTAAAAAAAAAATCAATGAAACAATCCAGTAATCCCATAAATAGGAAGACAATAAACACATGATGTAAGAGCCATGAGTAATCTGAGAGGGCTTCTTGAATCTGGGAGGGTTTCTTACTGGGCCCTGATGAGTTAGAAAGAGCCAGTCCCAAGGACAGAGGCTGGAGAGCCTAGCCTTGAAGCAAGGGGAACAGCTTGTGCAGGGCTAAAAGTGGGGGTGGGGATGGAGGGAGGGGCTCCAAGTGTGGAGAACCTGCCCCTGGTGCATGTAGCAAGAGCATAGAGGAAGATATTGACTTTAGTCCAGCCAGAGCAGCAAGAAGGCAAGCATCAGTTCACAGGCTTCTGCAGGTTTGATCCCAGAGGTCCGGAGCAGCTTGGAGCTCACCATTCCTGCCCCTCAACAGCAGCGTGTTAACAAATGCTAAACAGTCACTCTGAGTGTTGTCCTGATGTGAATACTCATGTTTTCACGCACTTTAAATAAGAGGGACACAGGCTAGGAATGTGGCTCAGTGGTAGAGTTCTTGCCTTGCATGCATGAGGCCCTGGGTTCAATTCCTCAGCACCAAATAAGCAGAAAAAGCTGGAAGTGGTGCTGTGGTTCAAGTGGTAGAGCGCTAGCCTTGAGCTGAAGAGCTGAGAGACAGCGCCCAGGCCCAGAGTTTAGGCCCCACGAATGACAAAATAAATAAATAAGTAAATAAATAGGAGGGTCACAAAACAAAGAGGGTATGTATGGAGCTTGTAGTGTTCCAGGGCTGCAACAAGGAGTTTGCTCAACTGGAGAACAGAGCTCAAAGTCCCAGAACCCTTGCTGAATCGAATCATCATTTTCCACAATCCTCTTTTTTCTTTTTGTCAATTGTGGGGCTTGAACCCTGGGCCTAGGAATTGTCCCTGAGCTTTTCAGCTCAAAGTGAGCATACTCTAACACTTGAGCCACAGTGCCACTTCTGGCTTTTTCTGTTTATGAGGTACTGAGGAATCCAACTCAGGGCTTCATGCATGCTAGGCAAGCACTCTACCACTGAGCTACCTTTCCAGCCCTACAGTCTTCTTATGTATGATGCAATGACTACAGAATTGACACATGTGCTAATTAGTATCATATCACTTCCAAACAATCAAGAAAATGAAGTCTGATTGATATCACTTGCAGATTTCTGTGATGCAAATATTCACACTACAGTCAATTTCAAAATATCAAACATTGCTGGGCACTGGTAATTCACATTTGTAATCCTAGCTATTCAAAGGCTGAGATCCGAGGATCAAGAGTTAAAGACAGCCTGAACAGGAAAGTCTGTGAGCCCTTTGTCTCTAACCAGCAACAACAACAACAACAAAACAAAAATGGATGTAGAGCTGTGGCTCAAGCAGTAGAGCACAGCCTTGATTGAAAACAGCTAAGGGATAGTACTCAGGCCCTAAGTTCAAACCCCAGTACCTGGGCACACACACAATACCAAACAATAAATACAGAATCAGAGAAAGATGCTCAGTGGCTCAGCATTGCATTGCATTTTATACCAAGGCAATAAATGCCAGTCACCCCCCAGAGTGTAGGTATAATTAGTCAGCTAAGGCTGCTGTAACAAAAAGTACCATGGACTATAACAAAGTACCACATACTGGGTGGCTTA